CAGCAGCACCAGCAACAGCAACAACAGCAGCAACAGCAGCAACAACAGCAGCAGCAACAACAACAGCAGCAGCATCAACAACAACAGCAGCAACAACAGCAGCAGCAACAACAGCAGCAGCAGCAACAACAACAACAGCAACAACAGCAGCAGCAGCAACAACAGCAGCAGCAGCAACAACAGTGGCAACAACAACAATGCTGAAGAACCAGCATGCAGCAATAAAGCAAGAACAACTACAACAACAACAGCAACAACAACAGCAGTAATATTTAGTAAACCTTTGTTTTCTGAAGTTCTGGAATGCTTTATCACTTGGAAAGTTATTTTTGTTGTCTCTATCAGCACTGAACGGAACTCCACCAATAGGAGATGTGAAAGACAAGTCTAAAACCTGAGAGAATAAAAGACCATTTGATCACTATTTAAATGTGTTGGTACAAAATCCACAGGTAGCTCAACCAATATTTGGAAGCTCAAAAAAAACAATCCTTGTTTTTTTACGAGGGTAAAAACAGCAGCTAACAAACCTTGGGCCCTCATTCCATGATGGAATTGGAATTTAGGAGTTGATTTTTGTGGAGGGAGGAAAACTGGTGAACCCGGAGAAAAACCGTTGCAGCACAGGAGAGAATCAACAAATAACTCTACTCTTATACAACACAGTGTCCGGCAGGACTCCAGCACAAGTCACATTGATGAGAGGCTAGTGCTCTAACTACTACTCCACCCATGCTTCCCATAAAAAATCTAAAATCCATGGAAAGAGGCACAAACCTTTGGAGTTGAATGTTCTTCATATTTTTGGTCCAACCATTCTTTAAATGTAGGAGAGAATTCAGCAATCTTTAAAATAAAGCAAAGTTACAAAATATGAATATTTTGCTGTAATTGCAATACCAATACCTCTCTCCCTACCTCTAAAGCTTGGGCATAAAATTTTCCCATTTCAGACCATGTGTCATTCTCTTGAGAATAAGATTCTTTGTTTGTGTTGTAGCCATATTCATGGCAAATTGAAGAAATAGAAAGTATGTGTATCTGCTGTGTGCTTTATGACTCACACAGCACAGTAAGAAAGTTTTTTATTTCTTTTATAACATACAAATTACAATAACCATTATTTTACATGTAGATAGGAATAATGCAGCGGAAAGTACGCTTGCGTGGTGTGTGCCGTCATAAAGCCAACACTCCCAACTAATCAGAACACAATACTTATAACAGTTATTTTGTAAGGATAATGATATTAGACTTAACTTACCCTTGGATTTAGTGCAAGTTGTCTCAAAGTTCCTTTGTCAAGTAAACAAATAAGTCTGTGGAATCATTACAATATCAATATTAGTAATATAAAGGGGTTTCAGGGCAAAATAGTAAAAAAAAAAATTGGGGAACAGAAGAAATTACATCTTCATAACAAAAATCTACCCTAAATGGATACTACCACCGTGCAATGGTATTTTTAATTTGATATCTTCATAACTGTTTGATCTATGGTATTTACCTCTTAAGGTTTTCCAGGATAACTATAGCAAAGTAAACTGCATTGTGAATAGAATATAGAAGATTGTCCATGGGTAGCACATCTATAAAACAAAAAAGTTGTACTATTAATACTTTGAAATGAGTACATGATATACATGATATATAGCAGTGACATCTCCACAAAACCAGAAGATCTGGAGAAAAATGAAAGCACACCAACAACTAACTCTATTCACTTATGACAAGTTCAGGAATCAATCCAACGTGAGAGGCAAGCACTTCATAAGTGGCATGCACTGCTACTGTGTTGTCTCTTACCACTGTATAGTTCATCCCTGGGTTTGATTCCAGGCTGAACCACATATGTGAGTAGTGTTTGTTTGCTATGTTGTTCTCTAACATGTCAAGAGTTTTTCTCCAGGTTCTCTAGTTTCCCTCCCTCTGTAAAAGTCAACACGTAAGTTGGGTGTTGTTAATAATGAATGTAGTGGTTGTGTTCCTAGATCAAACCTCATGCAAGAGCCCCTTACAAGGAGTGATAGTTGTTAAATATAACCACTTTTTACATTTTTAGATATGATATACATGTACTATACATATTTACCTTTATCTTTTTCCGTTTGTTGGATGGCAGGTGCTCTAGTAGTCAGCAACTGAGCAATAAAATACACTTCAGATGTAATGTTAGGAACAAGACTCTCTGAAATAATAATCAAAACAAAACAACTCCTGATAAAAACCAAATACCTTTCTTTTTTTCAAAATTTCATTTTTCACTTTCATCTTTTCCCATTTGGTCCATCCTTACCTTGAATCAAAGTTGCATGCAATTGTGCCAGCAGTTCTACTTTTTCTTTACAAGTAACCTTTTCAATATCAACAGCACTTTTTAGACTAGTATTTGGAATATCCATTTTTGCATGTAAATTACTACAGTCACTTTCTTCCTTAGTCGTTTGATTTATTATTTCATCTCCTTTTTCCGTTTTTCTATTATCTTGCTCTGCAAAACCATTACAGATTTTCAACCGTGTTGAATCATTTTCACTTTGATTTTTTAGTTCCATATTTTTTCTTTGCTGCTTAGCTTGATTTACAAGCTTTGTTTTCACTCCAGAGTCCACATCACCATCCACAGTTTGTCCTGATTTGATTTTCTGTGAACTTCCAGGTGAATGAGTAATAAAATCTCCAAGCACAGAATATGACGGAGACCGATAACCTGAATTATTATTAGGACTTGTTTTATTCCCCCAAGGAGAGTCTCCCTTGCTTCGTCTCTTTGATTTCATAGCCTTCAACATCGTTCTTTCTTCTTGTAGTGAGGTTGGACTCAAAGTGCTATCTCCTGGTGGAGGGGGAGAGATAAAAGTTCCAGAAGAAAAGGGTGATAAAGATTTGTCAAGAATTGCTTTCACAGGTGTTGGGGTAATTCTTCTTGATGGAGTGCTCTTGCTACATCCAAGTACAAAAACAAATATAAGAATATATGTTAGTTAGTTGTGAAAAGCAAGAAATGTCCTATGCCAAAAGGGAGTCCAACTAAAATGTTCTTCCAAAGGGAGAGTATGTAAAAGAATCTGCCCAATGGCTTCACCTCTCAACAAGTACTTATTAAAAGATTCAAAATTAAAATTTATGAACACCACCACAACCACCACCACAACCACAATCATCACATCACCATCATCATTATCACTATCATTATGGGCATCACCACAATCATCATCAATGCATGATCATCATCACTATCATCAACATCATGGGCATAGCTGCAATCATCATACTATCATCACTATTGTTATCATCACTATCATTATTGTCATAGGCATCACCACAATCATGGCCAGCATCACTAATATCAACATAACCATCGTTCATTCCTTTTTTCCTTTATTTGTTTATTTCTTTGTTTATAATTTATTCACTTATTAGATACAAATTTTCCCCAGACAAGAAATTTTAACTGAAAATAGTACAATATTAGTAGTTTTTACAATGCACATGTATGAATAAATATCAAATATGAAGTAGCTGGAAAAATGGCTGCTGTCCATGAGGGTGGACAGCTGTATACCTATGCACACCTCAGTCATCGAGCACCCACATCATACATGTACCTAGAGTTGGGTGGGTGGCTTACACATAATCTTGATGTTGTTGGAACGAATGTGTGCAAAGACAGGTTGGCTGTAACTTATAAACTGCAAAGGATTGTGAGTATCCATTATTAAGTTAATTTCATGTTTTATTTCCGTCACTGAGAACAGTGATCTACTTTTAGGCGAAAAAGATTTTCCTACCTCTTAGGAGTTGATATTGACCCAATAGTGGGGAAGTCCTCCAAGTCATCTAAATTAGGTCTTGATTGCACAGCCAAAGGTGATGGTGTCTGACTAACGCTCTGATTACTTGGTGTCACTCTTGGTGACTTTTGTCTCAACGACGGAGATGACTTAGGTGACTGTCCTTTTCCATACTGTCTGTCTCTACGACCATGTGAAGAAGTATTATTGACATTTGGTGATGGTGTTCTCTGGGAAGTAAAATTAAGCCCACGTGAAGAATTCTTTTGTGGTGTTTCTTTATCAGTGAAGTTCGTATTAGATGTATTATGGTTAATGTCCTGTTTTCTGGTATGAGATCTTGATTTTTTTGGAGTTGGTACATTCTGCCGCCAGAGAAGATGATGCCTGGTTCGTTCACGAAGATAATTCAAAAAGAATGGAATGAACTCTGTAATATTGATTTCTGGTTCCTTCACATCATTTCGAACGCCATCAATCTAGTGGAAAATGATATATAAGATAAATGTATGGTTTCAAAAAAAATCCATATTGACTTCTATCACATGAGGCAATGTAAACTGTGATGATTGACACTAACAGCGGCTGTATAGGAGACTTATTATTATAACAAAGGATGCTTCATAAAAAAATAAATTCCCTAGAGATGACCTTCATATGCATCCGTGTAACAACCTTCCTAAGTTAAAAGCTCTTGAGGCAAACTAGAGAATTCGTGTGTCTAAGTAAAAAGAGTTATAAGCTGATTGCTCTCCATAATACAATTAAGTCTGGCCTATATTCTTTAAAGATGGGGAAGTGTATTTGATGAAAAAATGAATAGGTTATCTTATGCATAAAAAAACGTAGCCACCAATTACTGACTCTCAAACCAACAATTATTACGAATATACTAATAAACATAAATGGTGGTTAATAATCTACCCAGTAAGGGGATTGCAAGGAGAGGGTGGGTGTCTGCACCCAGTGTATCCCATCAGCCCATTGGCCTCAAAGATCTTCATTATTGAAACATTTTGCTGAACAACGGCATTGCAAAACATGTTTCAAAGGGGTGTTACACAGAGCATTTTTTTCTGAAACTTGTGTCTTGAACAAGAACAAAAATAACTGCATCGCACACAAGTTTCAACTAAAAGTTTCAGCCTGTAACGACCTGTAAAAGGGCCTTAAGTTTAATCATAAGTATATTTCAATCAATCAATGAATTATAAATTAAAAGTAAGAATGCTTAGTTGTGACTTAAATACCACCTAAAATGAATATCGGCTATGAATAAATTTATTTACATGTAAAGTAATTAGAAATTAGTGTAGTGATTGTCAATAAACAACTTATTCCTTTTTAAATTCATCCGATTAAATTTTTAAAACCATCCAAAGAAGTAACACTCCGTGGACAATCTTACCTTTGTTTTTCTGCTCCTTAAGAGTCTTTCGATGAAGGTTTCAAAGGTAATTTCTCCATCAAGTAATGTCTCCAACACAGTCGCCATTTGCAAAATAATTCGAATCCAGCGCTTTTACCAAGAAGCGCATGTGCACAATCACCTGATAGAATTTGGCGGGAAATATTAGCCAATCAGAGTATAGGATTTCTACTCGATTACAAACGATCTCTACTAGAAGCGTTCATTTCGAAGAGAAGCTACTAAAACAAACGTCTTGGATTTTAAGAGAAAGATATCGCCTCACAATGCCTAAAAGAAGCTTTCCCTTTCATAGCTGTTCTCCTCTACAGATGAAGACACATGTTAATAGTTTACACGTCGATAAGGACGCACATTTGATGAAGGTTTACGGTAAGTTTACAGCATTTGTTTGTCCAACTTCATAATTGTTCATCGCGTTCAGCATGGTCCTACAATGTGCCTTTTCATTTCTTTTTCTCGTAGCAAGAACTACAGATCTTCTCATGAAAGGATCTGCCAAGCTTTTCGGCGCAGGAATGCTGAATGGTGTGTCCCAAGAAAGTRTTTTAAAGTGTTCAAGTTGCCAAGACTCCAAAGCGAATCTCTTCGAAGCGTGTGTGTTCTGCTCCAAGAAAGTTTGTTCGTCTTGCACTCAAACGTGTCAGAATTGTGGAGGAATTTTCTGTGGGATTTGCTCGATAGTAAAGTAAGTATTTAAGATAAAACAGATGTCTAGGGAGCTCCACAAGAAGATGTAGAAAAAAGTTTTGGGGGGAGGGGAGGGTAGGTCAATATATCCATCTGAGGTACCAAATATGATAATAAGAGAGATAAAAGTGAAGACTAAGCATAATAAACTCTTATGCAATTTCCTTGGTGATTTGATAGTTTCAAGTTAATTCAGTCAGACCAGAACTCCTGCCCAACACCCTTTGCAATTCCTTATTCCTTAAGATCATTTTATACTTTAAATATTAGACAAAGTATTTGCTGTCACAAAAAAAATGCTTTATCCCACTTCCCAATCAAGCAAGTGCACTCACCTCTGGGTTGATTCCTTCGACATGGCATCACAATACTTTGAGACTTTGATCTGTCCAGAGGGTTTTTCTTGTTCCATCTGTGAGCTAGCTGTGCCCTGACTTAGATCAGCCCAGAGSTTGTTTCAGGGTTTGATCTGTGAGTTAGCTGTGCCCTGACTTAGRTCAGCCCAGAGGTTGTTTCAGAGTATTGATAAAATTTGTAGGTTTAAGGGTTTGGTCATGGTAGAACAGGTCTGTAAGAAATGAAGCTAGTCCCCAAATAAACTCTTGAAAAAAAGTACACAAAAGTGTGAAGTCTAAAATTGCCTCAAAATTGATATGAAATTGTTTATTCACWTTTTTCAGTTATGACGAACGTGATGAAAGAGTTTTCTGTCTTGGCTGTCAAGGCTGAAGCAAGGTTTCTCTTTGATGCTAGAATTTTAAATAGTCTTGTACAAATAAAGGAAAGTGAAGAGTACTTCTACATCTATGTGCCAACCTTGAAGACCAGCCACCAAACTTACTAATTTTGGCCCATTTTGGCCATCGCATCGTTTCAAGTCATGTGCAAAGACCAAAGATCAAAAGTCCAGCTTTGAAGAAGATGACTTGCATGTTGCAGAGATTGTGTGGCATTATTTAGAGGCCCTGTGTATTAGAAGTACTCTATATGATAAATATTGTTAAATAAATTAGTCCATTCAATAATACCCAAGTTTTGGGGAGCTTTATGACTGAGATTAGATATAAACTTTTCACTCAGTTATTTTCAATTTATATATATAYATTTTCCTTTCCTTTTTTATGAAGATGTATAACAGTAAACCATTGATATAATACAACAKAATTTAGATATATATTGAGATTTTAAATTTGTAATTTATGACTTTCTTTGTAAATTGTATTAATAAACTATTTAGCTGATAAATAAAATGTTATGCAATAATTTTTTGAACTCTGAAAATGAAATAGTAATATCATTGTCAGCCTTATTAGGGGAAACATTTGACATTTATAGYACCCCATTCACTTTCTCAATGAATCTTTTTTTGTAATGTTTCATTTGCTACAGATCTTTTCTTTTTTACTTTAAGTCTTCACCTGGGAATATATTTTTAGTAGCTTACGAAATATGTAAAAAAGAGTTGGGTACAAAGGTCATTTTCTTACTAGAAAGTACAAGTCATTCAAAGGACGTTCTAGAAAAATCCCCCTTGAGTAAGTTGACCAAAAAATATAATTTCATCGATTTAAGAAAAGTGGAATATTGTGAGAAACATTTCAGAGAGATCAGGGAGAAAGTGTGTTTATTGTGTACTGCAATAATCCTTTCAGGCGTTTTATTTGTGTGAAAATCTGAAAATGTGTTATTTTTTCTGTAAAAAAGCTTTGAGAAGAGTTGAATTTTGGGCTTCCTGTGGTAACGAAAGCGGATCAGTGTAAACAAATCGAAGGTTCGAGAAGGTTCTAGGAAAACATTGAGTTTAAAATTAGAAACTTACGTCATTAACCTTCGTTATATAAAAAGCCGTCGCACTTTCATTCAGCATAAACACGCTGAGATTTTCAAGATGGAGTTTGAGCGCTGTGAACACTGTAAAAGAGATATTCCAAGCGTTAACTTTGTGATGCATGTTGCTCATTGCCAACGAAATGTTCAAATGTGTACAATATGTGGCGAGGCTGTTTCGAAGGTGAACTGGCATGAACACCAAGAAGACCATAAAGCAGTCAAATGCCATCTCTGTGGGAAAGAGATTCAAAGAGCAAGATTGGAAAACCACATCGAAAATTCTTGCTTGGAAAGAGAAGTGGCTTGTGCGTATTGTAGCTTGGAAATGGGTTTTACCGAGCTAAATGATCATGAAGTGTACTGTGGCTCTCGAACTGAACCCTGTGGAAGATGTAAGAAGTATGTTATGATCAAAGATATTACCAGTCACGTCTGTGATGGCTCTAGACGTGCTAACTCCAGTTCACCAACCATCGAAGACGTGTCTGACGAGACAGTTCCTTGCGAGTTCTGCAACATGCAAGTTCCTGTGAACCAGCTTATGAAACACGAGTCTTCTTGCCCTGCTTTGAGAGAGGACATTGACTACGTAGAAATAATTGACGATAATAYTGATTCCACTGGTCCCTGTACTAGTCCGAGGGGAAGAAAACGCTCTTACGAGGAGGAAATTATTGCCGAAGAAAACTGCCTYCCTGCTTCTGATGAGACGACAGATACCTGTAATGGCGAAGACATAAGGAAAGATAATGCTAATCTAATCTATGCTCTACCATGTGAAATCTGTGGAGAGTTATGTCCTTCTGACARGTTAATGGAACACCAACAAGCATGTCTTTATGGGACAGAAAACCATGGCTCCAATTCAAGAGATGAAGCCATTGACGTTGATGAAGAYGACGAAGGAATCTGGTTTAATAATCTCAACTTGGACGATGGACCTACTAGGTTTTACACAGGTCATACTGAACACTTTCCAAGACTAGACGCTTTTGATATGATAGCTCGTTTTCATCCATTCTTTGCTGGCTCTTTGTTTGATCGGAGATTTGACCAGAGGTACTTYAGGTGAAGAGAACTGTCAAACAGTCGTATATCATCCACAGTTACATGATTAGATATCAGAGGAAAAGCTGAAATTATAAATTATTGAAGATCTCTTTAAATGAGATCAATAGAAACCTAATATATGATATATATAGAGTCCCGTTCGCACTTTCCTCTTTGGGTAGCATGTTGGTTCTGTAATTTTCCTTCCTGATTGATACCCAATTGTTGTAAAGTCACATATGATAAATATATGAAGATATAGAAATATAGATAAGTTATAGTGCTTGGGAACAAGGTTATTCCGGGCGAAAGCCCTTGGAATTAAATTCGGAAAAATTAATTTCCGACCTCGCTGGGAATATTCTCATATGATAAATATATTAATTGTATGTAAATATATTGTACATACACTGTATAGCATAAACAAAATCAAACTAGGACGACTACCATTGAAAATCCTTGATCATGATTGGCTGTGTTCTATATAGGATAAAAGAGGTCTCACAGTCTAAGAATCTGACCAGATTATGATTCAAAATTGTCTTGTCTTATTGGCAAGTTATGGCTTATTTCGATCTGAGATTGTAAAAAAGATTTTTCAAATATTATGACTATTTACAATAAAGAATCTTATTAAACATTTCATATGGAGTAGATTCTGATTCATTCATGGTGGTGATTGACAGAAGCAAAAAAAAAACAAATTTGAGCATGCAGCTTGCAAATACCAAGTTTGTGGAATATTGAGAATTGCAGTAATGCATGTTGTGCTGGCCAATTAAGGCCTAGGGCAAACATTGAACTTTCCATGCACCGAACTCATTAAAAACAATGGATATCAGGTGATAATGAGGCGGCATTCTTTGATGTAATTAAGTTTGGTGCATGGAAAGTTCGACGTTTGCCCTAGGCCTAAGTTCACCTGATATTGATTATAATTTTTTCAAGTACTACARCATGGCAATATTCTTTCCTCATGCTACACTCTTTATCTAATGTTGTATCTAATGTTGTAATCACTTTTGACCCCAATAGACCTAATTTGTCAAGGTGCAATGTTTTTCCATTACAGATCACTTGTCATCCCCAARATTATCATGTCTATGTTTACAGTCAAAGTGAGAAAACCTTGAACATCTAAAATATGTSTGGAATGTAAAACATCGTAGTCTGACCAATCATGTGACCGTTAATTAGATATGAATTCATTTTTGCATCCAATCGGACAAAACATCATACTTACCATTCCAGACATATCTTAGGTGTTCACGAATTTCTTGGTGTAACAGCCTTTTTTATTCCACACCCCCACATCCAATGCCCACCAATGCAGTCATTCATTCACATATACATGGTCATTGTAGGTTTGGTGAATATTGAGGCAATGTTTTCTGATTTCACACACTCCTTGATTTTAGTTGGGATTGGAAATTTTAATAATTATTTCATGTGCACTATATTATTTACAAGACAGTCCCTTTTAAGTTATGGAACATAGGAACAACAGGGTGTTGATCGAGGGAAGAAATAGTTTGGTTTTCATGTTGAAACTTTACAATGAGTTACTACTATTTTGATAATCATCTGAACTCATTAGCTGCAATCTGCATACTGAAATTTGTTTTTTGCTGCCTTTAATCAAAACTAATAATTTTATATTTGTGTCTGGCAGCAGTATAAATAAAATTTCATAAGGCAATTCGCAACTTCAGTTAATATCATGTTTATGAAAATAGCAGTACAAATATRATGCCATTATTGGTTTGGAATTTTGAAAAATGTACGATTAAAAACATGGTAAAACAATTTTTGCCAACTAAAAGTGGACAATAAAAAATCATAGCATTGCAAAAATACTATTAGAAGTATCACTCAAGCTCCTGTCAAGTTTTGGTCTTTTGGCAGAGGGCTCTATCAGAGATGCTGTACRTGGCATCTTCTGCAATAAAAAGAAAACCAATTCAGTGAGAACATATCCTCATTAACCCTCTGTTAAGCAGATATTGAAAACCAGCCCTCAACTTCTCCCCAATTTGAAACTTAAAGAGTTCAGGAATTCAGGGAAGAGCATAGTCTTTACAGACCCCTTGTATTTATTTCCAAATTTGAGATCAAAACCAAAGATTCCACTTTTGTTGACAATTGAAAACGTTTTGAACCAAAAACTGCACACCTAAACCCCCTCTACTTCCTTCCTTCTTTCAAAACTATCATTGTTCTATTAGCCAGACAAAAATGTTGCCCAGACAATGGTATAAGATCACTAAGGACTAGGGACTTTGTCAGGGTTCAAAGTAAGAGCTAGTTGGGCAATGTCTGGACAGAATTTGGCCTTGTCTAGTCATATTTTTGCCTTACAAGTAATTTTGATCCATAACTTTGAGCTATGACTACAAGTATAATCTAAAACAAATTTGGCCATTCATCATGACCAAGGACTCACTGGCCATTATTTTAAGCCCTGTTTATATTTAAGTCAGTTGAGCAAAATAACCTTCATCTGTCCTCCTCTAAGCTCTACTCTGAATAAGCAGCAGTAGGGCCTACCCGAGGGGAGTGGCAGGGCGGGAGAGAAGGGAGGTTGAGCTTATCATTAGGATAAAACAGTCAAACCAAAAAGTCTAAACACAAATTTTAACCAACCTTTGAATTTTCAGACTTTGTTTTGTCAGCTGATTCAACAGCCTTGAAGACAAATGTCCTACCAGATGATGAAGTGTTTGGGGYGTTGGCAGTGATGGATGACAGGCGTGACAATGTTGCTCTACTGCGATTCAGGAATGAACCTTTCTGAGACTAAAGGTAAAATAGTTTAAGTTGTACAAAGCTGAACTTRCACAAACATAGAATGTTTCATCTGAATAACACTAACTTTGCTATTGTAGTATTCTACCAGTTCGCAGTGAACATATAAGCGCTGTGTGCAATACTTACAGGTATTCTTTGTAGTCTGGGTGCAGGAACAACTGGTTTAGGGTTTGCTTGCTTTGGATTCTCATCAGGTTTCACTAAAGCTAGAATCACAAAAATCAAGGGAGAGTATTTATTTAATGCAATATTATGGTAAGAAAAACTGAATGGAAAATGGGATGGAAAATGGGATGGAAAATGGGATAGAAAATGGGATTACCTGGAGAAGCATTACTTGTGTCCTTGATGAAGTTCAAAATGACTTGACTGTTTTCATCTATGTCTACAAAACTATCTTGTTTGTTTTTGCTCTGGAATTACAAAATTAAAATTTTCATGAATGATACTGAACGACATTCAAAATACTAAGGCTGTTTGTGCAGAACTACCACTACCAGAGTCCCTTGCACACTTCTCTTTTCTTCACTAAATTAGTCCCAAATGTCTTACAACTAGTATTATGAGGAGCTTAAAAAATGAATAAGAAAACAAAAATGCAAAAAAAATGAAATGATGTTGCCTCTCCCTCCTTTTCCTTTACTACCACCCCTTAGAGCTCTCTAGGCATTTGAGGACAGCATGATGTGTTTCTAGCCACTTCCAAAGCATTTGCATTTGTTGCACAAGCACAATGGAACAAAAAAATAAAAGCCTTGGTTTCTACCCTGGGTAAAATTATTCTAAAGTTCTTGAATGGAAGTTCCCTGCTAGCAGAGTTAAGAATGGAAGAAAATAAAGGCAAAAATCATTATTTTGCTCTGGCAAACAGGTTTGATATATAAAAATGGCCCAAGCTGTTAAGATAATTACAGAAAACTGTATTCACCATTTTCCATACATCGGTTCACTGGTCAAACACAAAGCATTCAGTCGAGGTTGCAAGGTTCAAATTTGAATAATCCTTGGAAAGTACCTTGGCACCTYGCTTTGAGCKCTTTGTGTTTGACCAGKGAACTGATGTATGGAAAATGGTGAATATAAAAGTATAGTGATGCAAGTTAAAAGGTATGGCTACCATTTCTTCCCGAAGGAAAGTATCTCGTTCATATCTTTCCTTCCGTCTCTTGCATTCCTCTTCAGTCAACAGCTCAATGTTGCCATGATCGTCTTCATTCCACAGCTTGTTATCAAAGAGATCCATTTGTGAGTTGGAATCAATACCACGCCATCTGAAGTTCCTTTTCCTTCCCTCTCCATGAAGATCACCATCAGGAAGGTACATGTCTTGTACCAATCGAAGCTCTGCTTTGTCCTGGTCAAGAATGGATTTCCTGGAAAACAATACCATCATTTGGAATTCCTTTTTAGCTTAAGTAGCACTGTTGATATTATAACTTACAGTTTGCTATTAGGGACCTTAAGCAACCCCAAGCATCAGGGACATGGGCACCAAAACAATGGTGTGAGCACATTTTCAAAACATTCCTTTGTACACACGTCCTTGTCCTTGGCGTCCCATACTCACTAGAAATTCTGATGGTACTTTTTCACGTGCTAGAGAGAATGGCAATGTYAAAGACAACTGCACACCCATGAAAAACCATTTTTGAAAACTTGCTTGTGCTATTGTTTTGGCGTTGCATTCTTGATGCTTTAATTATGTTYAAGTTCCTTATAATTCAAGCAAAATTGCTTTGTTTCAAACAAGTAAAATGCTTTTCATGAAAGAGAACAGGATTGATGATAGGCTCCCCTTTGCAAACCATGGAAATGGAGTTTGAATGCACCTTAGTACTTGCAGTCTTCGTAGGGACAAAAGTTCTTTAAGAATTCGACATGAAAATCTAAAATGCATCTAGGATGAGGAATGTACATCCCTATATTATGCAATATCAATATTAATACTTACATGTGTACTTTATTGATTTGTTTCTGTAATTCTTCATCAGAGGGCAGTTCTTCTTGGTCTGAATCTTCTTCTAGGACATCTTCATCCGTATCGATGTCAAGATCTTCATCAGAACCAATATCACTTCCTGACAACTCTGCTTCTTCTTCATAGAACTTATTTTTATTAAAAATCCTGCCAAAAAAAGAGGTTTTATGAGAAAACAAAGTTGTATTTTCCACTGGCTGAGGAACGAAATAAGTGGAAAATGTTTTCTCACACCACTGGAGCCTGGGCCAAGGGATATTAGTCACGTGGACAGTGTTTTCATCAGTTGCTTTTTTGCTGTCTTCCATGACTGTTAGTTAGCCCAACAGTACCCCCCCAACCCTAGGCCAGCATTGCTGGAAGGACTTTAGAGTAGTTTTTCATGGAAACCACGTTTATTTAGTTATTCAGAAATAAAGAAGTCAGTTGGCGGCRGTCAGCTGGACAATAGCTCCCAGTGGTGTGTGAGAATTGAAATTAATGGTTTTGTATCATTACGTTTCTGTAACATTGCACTTTATRTAGGGTAGGGTCCTAAGCCCTGTGCCAAACCCCATTCTGGAGGATAAGGGGATTGCTCTTTGTCTGGTCTCTACCCTCAACCTGTTCTGCATGGGTGGCCCTTTTACAGGAGTTCAAGACTCCAGCCGACATATGTAGCTCTAGGGTGCATAGAAACACACAGACGACCCTAAAAGGATAAGCTAATTAGATCCCATTGCACATTCTGGCAGGAAAAACAATGATGATGATGATGTAGTAGAAGAAGACCATTTGTGCTAAAGTATCAAAAAGATAAAAAGGCGTTCAGGGTGACAGCACAAAGTTCTACTTACTTTCCATATGACTTTTGATACTTCTTCTTCTTTCTCATTTCATCAATATCAACATCACTATCCTCTCCTTCATCCTCCTCATCTTTTTCAGAGTCGCCATTCTGTTCGTCATCAGAGTTCTCTTCATTTTCTGCCTCAGCATCAGCATCTTCCTCTTCTTCTTCTTCTTCTTCCTTATCATTAGAATTTGATTCTTCATTCCCGTCTTCTTCCTCTCCTCTATTCTTAGTATTCAATTCTCTTGAGGTATTTAAGTTGGTTTTGTTTTGAGTATCTGRTTTCACACTATTGGGAAAGACGCCCGAGCATAGATCTAGCAGTTCGTCCATCGGTGATGACTTTGAAGCCTCTTCTCCTTGTATAGCAGTCCCAAGAAGAGAACGAGGTTTCAGCTTCCTTGTGCTTGTGTCATCCGTTGGTTTGTCACTGACAAACTGACCAGAACACAGGCCTAGCAACTCATCCATGTTTGGAGACTTATTCTTGTCATCTATTTTGTCACCAAAAAAGGAATGGGGTTTTTTGGACTGTTTTTTTGGCATGGATTCAAGTCCACTAAATYTTCCTGAGCAAAGCCCAAGGATTTCCTCCATTCCTTGTGTGCCATCCTTCTCTGAACCCTCAAGCAAGTCTTTTGATTTGGATTTTTGTTTTGAAGTAGAAAATAAAAACCTGTGAAATGAAAKAGGTTTAATGTTTGTTAAACAATACTCTTAACTTGAAATGGGTAAAATTTCTTGCAATCAAAATACATATAGTTGCATATTTTTGATATACATGTGTATGAGTATTCCTTCCTTTGAAGTGGCAACACAGTGGAGCTGCATTGTATTGTGTGCAACAGCGTGAGATATTGCATGCAAATTAATTAACATATGGTGCAATCTTAGATAGCATGCATGCTAATATACAGTACATCTAAATGGATCTACAGAATGAGAAAAWATTTAAACTCAGTGCTGGTAATACTGGGTTTAATCAACTGATAAATGYTTTTGAATCTCATTATTGGCTACAACATTTTGGTCAAAAACTGACAACCATGTGTTGTCAGCCAGTATGTATTTTATTGAAAACTTGTGATTCAACCAGTACATTCAATGAGAAAGGAAAAGAGATTAAGTGAAACCAAGCAATCTACTATTACATTGTGTTAAGTCGTTTGGTCAGACATGCAGTAGTGTTAAGAATCATCATCTATCTATTTACCCCTGGGTATCCAACATCTGTGTAAACTGGGTATCTTCATCAAGAGTAAAGGAAAAGTTGTTTGTTACTGTTACTTGTTGTTGAGCTTTTTCTTCGTCATTGTCCTCAGTTGACTCATCATAGAATAAATCCTAGTAACAAACACAAGGTGGCTCAAGATAAGCTAACAGTTGCTAAGGAAATGGGGTAACTACGAGCTAGGGTATGTTTTACATTGTTTGGAAGGGAAATTGTGTACTTTATGGCCATGAGCCGACACGTGTCGGTCAACTATCACATGACTGTTGTTCGATAGTCGGCCAACTGTTGACTGAGCATTTGCCATYAGGCAATGGCCGACAGACATATGTGCCAGCTGGTCCAGAAGTACATGATTACCGTTTGGAAGAAACCATATGAGGACTGATGGGAAATCATAGCAAMTCTTGTTTTGATTCTCAAAACTTCCAAAAACTGTTTGCTCTAGTTTCTACTTACAGTACATATTGTATAGTGAATCAGAGTCAAGACATTTTGTTATGTAAAAATTAATAATGTTATGATATAAGTAAACCCTAAGAAGTTTGTTACCTGAGAATCTTCTATTGGAAGAGTAAGTTGGGACAACTTGCCAGCCTTTAAAAGAATTAGTAATAAAATATTTGCCTTGTTTATCRCAACTGGTACAGTACTATAGAGTATCTCAAAACCTTTCCCAAAATACAGTGTAAATTATCAATATAGTAGACAAAATTAATCCATGAAAAAGTAGTTACTAACTACTGCTAAACAGTAGTATACAATAATTTATACAATAAAAAACAAAGGCATAGCTTTAAAATAAAGGGTATTATCTCTATTTATTACTATTTAAGCCTGATTTTCACGAGCGACGCAGCATGCTTGTGCTTGTGCTTATGCTTGCGTTGGACAGTTTTCACGATGAAATAAATCCTCTTATGCTTGCGCTTGTGCTTGCGTTGCTTGTGAAAATCAGGCTTTAGTTTTTGTATTTTCATTTATGGTTTTATCATGTGCCATCTATCTCCTTTATTGAAGGGTCTCTTGATGTCTGAAATTTTCTGGAAAACTACGCTTGGTAACAGTTGCTGTCAAATAAATTTATTTATGCAAATTCATCGAGAAATTAGAGTCTTTGCACCATCACCTGATAACTGATCCACGAAGGAAAAAATTGAATTTGGTCTAATCTGGTTCACATGAGAAAGAATTCAGTTTCCCAGGGAGAAAAGACTCTTGTTCCTGCCCCCTGTCCATGACTGCATGYCATCAATGTGATGGTTCAAAGCCCCTATTGCTGTCTTATTTATGTACCTTCTTGTTTGACTGTGTTTCAATATGCTTCTGGTTCCTGTTGATATGTTTTGATATTTTTGGAAAAATGGATGCGAGTTCATTATTTTCAGAGTCACTAGAAGCAGGTCTATTACTCCCGCCCCCTTGCGCAGGCTGTATCCTGCTACTCTCATTGGTCCCTTCAGGATCAAATGCAATTTGAAAGCCAAGACTTGATTGGCTAGGTTCTTCCAAAGTTGATGGCAGCATTGCTGTAGTTGATGATTTAAATTCTTTAGTCTTGGTAAAATTTTGGGAGACTTCTTCATYCTCTTCTATGCTGTCCAATCGGAGGCAAAGCTCTGGTCCTGTATTTTCGTCATTAGTACTCTCGGCATCTTTACCAGCAGTATTGCAAGTTTCACTATCTGTTTGACTATTGCTATTAACATTAAATAAGTCTAGAGTTCTTTCGTCATGGATCTGTTGTTTTGATTTTTTCTGCTTCTTGACCTTGTGATGTTTTTTTAGTTTCATTTTTTCATCATCACTAAACAMAGAGTTTTTATCATCATCATCATCACTGTTTCCTTCATCACTAACGTCACCATCTGAACCAGAGTTCATGTCATCAAAGCCACCATTGGAATCATCATCTTCATCAGCTTCATCATCTATCAAGTCATTCTTTTTTTCCACTGAATCATCATCTTCATCTTCTTCCTGTTTCTTTTCATCTTCTTCATTCCATTTATCAATTTCATAATCAGAATCTGATTCTGAAATACAATTAAAGTATTATAAATGTATGAATGAATGAATGGATGGATGGATGGATGGATGGATGGATGGATGGATGGATGAATGAACGAAGGGACAAATGAATGGATGGATTAATGGATGGATGTATAAATGAAGGCATGGGGGAAACAAAAATAAAATGGGATGGAAGGAGAGTAAATGACTGTTCAATGAATAAATGATATGGTTGATAGATGGAATATTTGCAAGGAGGTAGCATACATGTAGGATAAATGAATCAACTCATGATGGATTGATAAAGAAATTGGAATAGGATGAAAGTAGATGAATGTATGGATGAATTACTAAGTGTTGTAGGGATCATGTAGAATAACAATACCCTCATCAGTCATTTCTTCCTCTTCTTCTTCTTCTTCTCCACTTATCTCCTCATTATCTAGCCGCCTCTGTGATTCATGAATTTTCCGTAGCTCAGCCCTCTGTACTTTCATCTTGCTTTCAAGCTGCTGTTTCAAGATCTTTAGTCTTTCTCCTGCACAGAAAATATTAACACATATATATCAGAGTTCTACCTCACTGACCTGCATATTCTAGTTTTGGTAACTTGTCATATTTTGTTTAGCGTTCCAGATATGTATGGTATGTATGAGCCAGATTAGAATTCACCTTATTTGTACATCACAGCATGCAATTAGCAAGTATGGTCGATTGAGTCAAGCTGTCTTTGCAATATCCATAGTAGTGATGAAATATTCTCACAAGAGACATTGATGCACRGAAAACTGCCACACATAACATCCCTAAGCTAACCAGTTTCATTAAAAACCTTGAACACATCAGTCAACACACTGCATGTCTGCATGTCTACCCTTCTGTGTCTGGGTGATCAGGATTTCACAAAACATATGCAAGTTAGAATCTTAAATAAAGATACCTGGCATAGCCTTTTCAATCTTTTCTTTCACAATTATTGAAGGTGGTTTATCAGTGCTTTGTTTTTCATCATCATTTACAACAGCTTCCTTTGTCTTTGAGGCAACCTTTGATTTTGCTTGTGGTTTGGTTGTGTGTTTGGCAAACCTTTACAAAACATTGAAGATAAGCTAAAAGTTACCACACTATTACATTGCTATGTGCTGATCAAGACAACAGTTGAGACACCAGGCATTATACTGCTGTCAATAAAATAATTGTTCAATACCTTTACATACTCTGATCGGCRGCATCACCTGATTTCCCTCTTATGAGTATTATCTCAATTAATATTATGGTACTGTATTAGGCAGTGCATGGGTTTTGTGTTTCGGAAATTTTAAAAGGGTGGTGTTGCTGAAATCCATTCATCAAATAAACTATACATCTGGTTTTTTAGTTTGAGTCTTGGGCTGGGCATAGTACAGTATGACAAGAATTTGTAGGGTCTCGGCTTAATTTTTAGTTTTTCTCTATGAAGGCTTGCACTATCATGTAACGTCAACCATGWTAGATGGCAGGAACAATACAATCATTTTACACGAGAAAGAATTCAATTCTTGAGAGCAAAGGGATTTTATTGTTCTTATTTCTCAATTGACACGGTTTTCTTTGTTATTCACAAGGCTTTATTTTTGTTATAACCCTCATTATAAATGCGAGGTCAATATATGGTTATTAACCCGGTTAATAACTATATATAGACCGTTCGCATTTATAATGAGCAACATTTGATAGAAAACCTTCTCAATTGATAAATAAAATACTTAATTACCTCGAACGTCGGCAATAAGCCTATACATGGCTCATTGCCTCCGTTCGAGGTAATTAACTCTTATTTCCATCTAACCACAGGCAGTCAAAGCTGTATTTTAGGCTCCGATATGTGATGGTGCAAATCCTCAATATTCCTGCATTCTTCTAGTTCCCTCCTAAAACCCCAACAGTCAATTGCAATTTGATTTGCAATTTACCTRTGCCCCAACTAAAATCAGCACATATAGCTTGTTCTAACTATCAGACCGACAATTAAAAGGGTTGCTGATGATGGCTACCAGGTCTTGGCTATGGCTTGACAGCATGAGTAGCATTTCTTCTTACCTTTGCATCAAGCTTTGTACTCCTTTCACAGGTCGTTTTTCTGTGGGTGTTTCATCCAGGAAAAATGGATCATTAGCAGTCGAAAGCTTTGGTGTTGCTGCTTTACCATCACTTGTGGCACTAGACAACTGTGAGTTTGATATTATATCAGAGTCTGGAGCAGTAGATGAGTTCTTAATATCTTTATGTTGAGACCTRTAAATCAAAGATAAGATATTATCTGTTAATAAAAAAGGTAAAAAGTAGATAAAACTAAATAACAGAAAAGAAAAAATAAAACTGCCACCCACTTAGCTCAGTTGGTTGAGCATCAGAGTTTCATACTGGAGGTCATGGTTTGATTCCCAGCAAAATGAACACTCAGGGTCTTAAAATAACTGAGGATGTGTTGCCTTTGTGATTACAGGACCACTCTAAAGTAACTTATCATTTCGTGGATATACGAGTTTATTGTATCATGACGCAATAAACTCATCTTGCGACACGATAAACTCTCGATATTCATCCGTGTACTACAAGTACTACTGTTTTAATATTCTTAAATAAATAAGGATGTTTGATACAAGACAACGTGGCAAGTAGCTTTTGACATTCAAGAGACTCTTATGACCATTTAAATGGCAGTCCGTCTCTTCACACTTTATCAGTTACTAACTAATATTGGAGGGATGTAAGAGTCATTTTTGACTTACTGTTTGTCGTCTTTTGGTTTGACTATTGGTACTCTCTTCAAGAAATCRGTAATGGACTTGGCAGCAGGTTGGTGATATGGAAGCTTTATGACTGATTCTGAAAACATAGAAAATCAATATTGAGCACAGCTAAAAAGCAAAGTAACAACAACAACAAAAAAACAGGAAAATATCTTGTAGCATCAAAAAGAACAACATGTTAGAAAATGAATGATATAGATTTCATACTACATTTTACAAATATGTAATGTACTGGTGAAACGTTTAAGAAATACAGGTTAAAAATTATCATGACCTTCTGAACGGAATATTTTTTCRATAATATTAGAAAAGTGTTTTTACCTCTCAGCATTTTTTGACATTCACTGTGTATTGATTGAATAGCGGCTTTCTTGAGTCGTCTTGGTTTAGGAGACTATAAACAAATTATCATATTATTATCATTATAGCAATACTTGGAATATCCAAGAGGTAGGAAGGGCCTAAGGAGGATATATTTTGTAGAACCAGAAAGCATCCATACCTCCCCCATGAAGGGGGATTGGAATTTTCAAGGGGTGGGGAGGGTCTGAGGAGGGTATATCATGTAGTACAAGAAAATATCTATACCTTGCCCATGAAGGGGTATTGGAATTTTCAAGGGGTATTGGAATTTTCAAGGGGTGGGGAGGATCTAAGGAGGGAATATTGTGTAGTACCTGAAAATATCTATACCTCACCCATGAAGGGGGATTGGAATTTCCAAGGGGTGGGGAGGGTTTGAGGAGGATATATTGTGTAGTACCAGAAAATATCCATACCTCACCCATGAAGGGGGATTGGAATTTTCAAGGGGTGGGGAGGGTCTGAGGAGGGTATATTGTGTAGTACCTGAAAATATCTATACCTCGCCCATGAAGGGGGATTGGAATTTTCAAGGGGTGGGGAGGATCTTAGGAGGGAATACTGTGTAGTACCTAAAAAAATATCTATACCTCTCCCATGGGGGGGAGGGTTGGAATTTCCAAGGGGTGGGGAGGATCAAAGAAAGGAATATACCAAAAGAAATCTCTTGCCGATCCTTCATTAAACTTGTATATTTTATATGATAATTAGGGAAAAAATAAGCTCGTATAAAATCTTACATGTAAAATATGTACAAAGATCATTCTCTAATATATGCAAAACAAACTCACTCTTTGTCTTTGACTTGAAGTTCGTTTATCACTCTCATTTTCATCATCGTTATCAGAGCTACAGCTGTTCTGTAGAGACTTCTCGTCATCAAAGATATCGTCGTTATTCAAGGAAGGTTCTGCTACAGACTTTGTTGATGAAGTATTTAAAATGCTTTCCTCGACCACAGACCTCGAGAGCTCAGAATCACCAATAACTGCCTCTTTATCATTTTCTCCCGAGTCGAGACTGCTTTKTAAGGAACTCTCATCATCAAATATATCATCTTTTGTAAATGGGGTTTCTTCTTTTGCGGGGCTTTTGGGATTCTCGTTCAAAGAACTAAGTTCGCCATCTTGGGCGCCTTCATCCAGGTCCTCCATCTCCGCATCAAAAATCTCCTTGTTTTGGGGAAAAGGCTGCAAAAGTGCGAGAAAAAAATTAATTTGGGCCTCATGACTGTGTTCTTAATCTTTTAGGATTACTCTTACCTCTAAAATTTCAGCTGAAGCCATTATTTTTAAGTGTTTTTTAGCTCCTTTTGACCGACAATATTGGAGYCATTTTGTTCTAAAAGCGAATTTCGCGCCAACTGCGTTAAATTAATTCTCGGTGTCCTTCGGTGGATACGAATATCGGCCGGAAAAAGCCCGAATGCTGCACGTAATTTTTTCGATTAGTTACCAGGAATTAGCGACTTATTTATTTGGTACAGGTAGCTCAATAGGCAGTACAAATCTGCGGTTTTGAGAAATTTTCAACCATTTATAATACATAGGGGGGAAAATCGGGCAATTTAACGCATAACGGCAACAAGATGGATCCCTCTTTACTCAAGGACTTAAAGGATTTCAAAAAACGGAGTGCTACTCAGCCAACAATCGAAGCAAAGAGGGCAAAGCCGACTCCTTCGAGACCCAAACCTTCGCCTGGTTTACCAAAAGAACTTCTACAGCCCAAAAAAGCAATGAGTTCTCCTTTGGGTGTCACTGCACCTAAGTTCCGAAGCAAGCACAGGTTCGCTGTAATGGCAGCTATAGTTAATTTTATGAAGGATAGACATCTAAAAAGAGTATATGAAGAGTTGAGTTTAGATGAAATCCTTGATCAGATCAACTATACTGACATAAGTCCTAGTGATAAAACATGGCTGGGCCAGGAAGCTCTGAAAAAGAACCCTAAACTCACCTGTAATGATGATAAGTATGCGTTTAATTCCAAGTACAAAATCAAAGACAAAAGACAACTTCTGAAATTACTAGAGAAGCATGAAGAAAGAGGTTATGGAGGGATCTTTCTTGATGATATCCGAGAGAGCTTACCAGATGCTGATAATGTCATTAGATCAGTACAAAACAAGATTTTCTTCATAACAAGATCGGACAAAAAAGTGGTGCTATTCAACAAAAATAAAACGGATGAAATGAAAGTGGACGAGGAATTCCAGAAGCATTGGAGGGCAATATCTGTTGACGGCATTGGAGAGGCTGATATTGACAAGTACCTTAACAATGCTGGTATTGCCGCAATGCAAGATTCTGGTTTGAGTAAGCAACAACAAGCACCACAGCGCAAGAAGATCAGGAGGAAGAAAGCAACTAAGATACACAATGTTCATTTAGATGACAGCACGCTAAAGGATTATACCAAGGAAAGCTAGAATTAACAACTGATGGCAGAATATCGGGCAGAAGGTGCTATATCTAAGCCAATTTTAATGCTAGTTTTGAATGGCTACTCAAGCTGGGGTCTATTGCGATATTCCCCGGGCGTACACTGAAAGGGGTACCCTGTTTATGACTTTAAAAAACTCAAATTTGTAGACCGTTTATGACAAAAGATATAATTTATAATTGCACTAAGTTCCTGTTTCAATTATCATGTCAGCTCACATATTGTTTTTTTTTTTGATGACCATAATAACCAGTTTCAGTCAATATGAAAGTAGAAACCCTGAATATGACAAGAAACTCAGGAAGAACTTTGAAATTGAGTGAAATTGCATAC